GAATTTTTCTTTTTACACAACTATATCCTACAATGCATTACGTATATGACGTAAAAGCGTCAGAGGTTTATTCAGGGGTAATTCTTTCCACTAATTCAACTAAATAAATCTTTTTAGGTTACGGCCACTTGGCACCCAAGACTCAAGCCGGTCGACTCTTCTTGATATTCTATGCCTTCTTTGGCATTCCCATCAACCTCCTCGCGCTTCAATCCGTTGGAGAGCACATTAACGTTGGTTTTCACAAGCTTATCACATTTGTCGAGAAAAAACTCTACAAAACTAGTACAGTTCGTCATGAGCATATTAAAACGTTTGTTCTTAGTGTTATTCTTATGGTTCTAATGCTCCCTATAGGGGGGTTAATGTATTACTATTCCGAGAAAGATAAAGGCTGGACCTATCTTGACAGTGTATATTATTCATTCGTTGCCATGAGTACCATTGGATTCGGGGACCTGGTACCTAATGAAGGGAAAGAGCCTGAGACGAACTATGAGAGGGTCATGTGGTTTATAAGGCTGCTCTTTCTGGGACTGGGACTGTCACTAGTTTCCAGTGTCTTCACGTCAGTGAGTGGCGCTACTAAGCAGATTAAAACGGCTTATATGAGTAAAAAAGGTAATAATTCCAGCAATTGGTACGCACTTTGATGATAACTATAATGTTGAAGAGTAGCCCCTTTCCACGACGACGTCATCTTTCTACAACTCCCAGAATGCTCTGCGTATTTCCATACGTTTTGAACACTACGACCAAATACTTTACAAAAAAGTGGGCGAAGCATTCTGGAAATTGCCATAAAATATGTCTTAACTCTCTTTTCCAGAACAAATGGTCTTGGCTCAGAAACTAGCAATTTTTATTTCTTCATCCTTATTCATATTTTCATGCATGCATTAGAGTGCACGTCACATAAGCATGAAACAATTCTTAATATGTATTGCTAAATAAGATTTAGTTATCAACTAACTAAGAATTCAACAAAGCATAAACACAATGCCAATTATTTAAATTCCTTTGTAGCATTGTTCTCAATTCTTAGTTAGTTGATAACTAAATCTTATTTAGCACTACATCGTTAAGAATTGTTTCATGCTTATGTGACTTGCACTCTATAACATTATCAAGCAATAATTCTTCAACTATCTGGTACTCTTTGTCTATAGAAACTACTAGAAATGGTCGACCTGCCTCTGTCTGATCTTCACTGTTTCTCTCTCAAACTCTCTTCAGGTCAGTTCTCAACCAGATACTATTCAGAAGAACGCCATTATATCCATCCTGCGAGCAGCGAATAGTCTCTCTTAACTTCCTCGAAAACGAATCCTTCGAATTCGAGGAGGCGACTGTACGCTGCTTGCAGGATGCGGTGTATCAAGAAACGGAAATACTATTAAAAAAGTAGGAATAGAAAGAAAATATGGGAAATTTCTTTCTACTTTCCTATCCATTATCTGAATAGCTTCTGAGTTTCTAAGATACTATCGTCTTTCTCAAAGGACTTTCTTAATGTGTATATTTTTTACTGTATTGCATGAATCGCGAGATAGGAACGATTGGAAATTGATAAATATGAGTAGAGTCTGGYGACTGACGTACATTAAATTATGATTGCCTCTTAATGTTCCACAGGATTATATCAAGTTAATAGAAAAAGGAAACATCAACAAGAGGATCAACAAGAGGAGCGTAGAAGTTTCAAGCAAGCGGCATGTATACATGTAAAGGGTCTTTTATGTAACGGTAACGTTGACAGAACGTCACGCAACACAACATCGAGCCTGCCTAGTGACGTCTACTCTCGCTTTGAAGACAGCTTGTCAACTACGTCATTGAGTAACAACCAATCACAGCACGACGATTTTGTGCACGAACAAACACGTGGTTGCAGGAGTGTCTCTACGAGTCAAAGTACAATACTGGACCACAATACAAACACATCACACGGTAGATCACCGAATATAGAGGAAAGCACTTTAGAATTGGCTATTTTCCCTTCAAATGACGTCTCTACAAATACGAATAACTATGTTACGTCACTGGATGGGAACAGTAACATCGATGAGGTGACATCATCTCCGTACGAACCAAGAGACGGTATACAAAATACGGCTAGTGTAAGTCATGACGCAAATATAACGTCATCGAATGTAGAGTACATGACGTCATCACAGTATGTGCCAAATGAAGGTATATCAAATACGAATGATAAATGTAATGACATCAATATGACGTCATCGAAAAGTAACAATGAGGACACGACGTCATCACAATATGTGCAAGATAAAGGTACTAAAAATGTAACTACAGAACTTTATGACGTAAGTGTGACGTCGACAAGCGACGATACAGACAGAGTGACGTCACCAAATGATCCAATTCGTGAAGGTACGAATATTACAGACGATTCAAGGAGAAACACATCATGTGCTCTACTAAAGAATAATTGCAGAGATGACGTCATACCGAATGGTCACGTCATCAATGAGATCACGGCGACGTAATAATGACGTTGATATCAAACTTCTCTACAAAGTCGTTTTGCTCTGCTTGTTGCGCAAATAAACCCCTTGCATGTGACTTCAAAACATCATCCAGGGGACAAGAAAAACACTTTTGCTCTCTTGGGATCTAGTCCCCCAGATGCAGATGCATGAACTTCAAGGAGTTTATTGGTTTCAGTGAAAAAAATATGTGACAATCTAGAATTCCAAATATGATTCTCACCACTATTCCTAATATATACAATAGTATCTGACATGGGGGGTGCATTCCCTCCTGATAGGTAATCTGTAATAATTGATTTTATCACATAATTATCTATGAAATACCTATATTTCTCCATTTCATAAACTTGATATTTTCACTAGTGAAAATAACACATTCAAGGTTTCTCTATATAGTGGAAGTAAGAAAAAAGATATTTTACGACATAATTTGCTTTCATATGTAATTATATGATAAACAGAATATTACATGGTCGTTTGGTGATACAAATTTTATCTTTTTGTAGTATTGAAGATCTTTTCAACACTTGAAGATAAAATCTGTATCTCCGCGCGTCCATGCAATATCCTCTATATAACCATTCATATTGAAAAAAACATGAAAATGGGAAACGCTGGTTCTGTTATCCCAATGTTGTGCAACGTTTGTTAACATTTACTTGTTTTATATTCATGTACAGATACCAGTCAAAGGTGTAGATCATACTAAGCTAATTGTGTATTTGACTTCACAAGAATACCATCTGAAAATGCTATGTGTGCCTCTAACAAGAACTTCAAATGAAACACATTATATTCATTTCATAATAAATATTATTACTGGATGATTCTATCATTGCAAAAATACCTTATCAATTCTAAGACATAAATATGCATTTCATCAAACTCTTCTGTCAGATAAAACTGACCTACATTGTTTTTTCTATGGTTTCACTCTACGATGAGACCAAAGGAGGTTTTATTTTTTCTGAGTTTGTAAAATATTGTGCATAGCATGGGCAATGAAAAGTCTTTTGTACTAATATAATTGAAGAAAAAATTGAAGATTGATAATATAAAAATAAAAATGACATTTACCAAAATATCCATGTTATTTCCTATTATCATTGAATTTCATTTTTCAAATAAAATTGAAAAAACTATGATCATCAACAAAGACTTAAACTCTACCCTCTCAAGTAGTTCCTTTCCTCTGAATTGAACTTATAATATATTCTCATTATGCTTTCTCAAGATATATGTTGTAGTTCAGGTTCAATATATTTTTGAACCTCCAGTTTAATCTAATTTGTTCCAGTACAAGACTTCTTGTACTGGTCTTTTTTTTTTTTTTTTTTTTTTTTTTTTTGCTTTGGCATTCTTAAAAGAACTAAAAGAACTATATCCCACCTCATTCTCTCCCATTTTCTATCATCTCATTTTCTACCTTCTACTATTTCCTACTTTATCTTACCCTATAACCCACAGAAACATTGATATTTTCTATATTCTTAATTTATGAATAACACTTATCTTCATCAGGGTTTGAACCACTGAACTCTTGCTTCATAGTCCACAGTACTACCAATTATACCATCAAGGATTTTGTTGGTAGTAATGTTTGCAAATTGCTTTTATCTTAATTGTAATTTATTAATGAAGACAATTTTTATATAATGCTGGCTCAACCCTATTCCCAACCCTAAACCTAACCCTAAACTGATTTGTACTGGATTGAGTTATATTGGACTGGTTCAAAATCATATTGAACCTGAACTACAACATATATGAATGAGAACTTCTTCATTGACATTTAATAATTTAAGCTAGAAACTACAGTATACAAAGATTGAATGAGATATTGTCATAAGGATCTATTGTAGTCAAAGGAGAATTACTCATTTGATCATTAATACATACCAGTTGCTCACACTTGGCAGTGTACATATCCACTGTCTTAGCGACATTCCTAGCAACAGTGACAGTAAGCCCAGCATCGACACTAGCAACATTCAGTTCACTAGAGGGAAAAAATGCAAATCAACATTATTTTAGTGTTTTAGCTTTATCGTGATAAACTTCCATATTGTATACCCAATCTCACATATGATGAAATTGATCTTTAAAAATCTTTTGTTTTTGATCAGCCCCGAATTCCAAATGGATAATTCATCAAAAGATGAAAATGGGAATTTTATATTTTAAAATGGGATATAAAATGGGAATTTTAAAAGCAGGACAATGTAATATACAACATACACAAAAATAATGCTATTTGGCAAACAAGGAACTAGATGTAACTTTAAAATCCATTAGTGAAGTCCAAGCATTTCTGGTGTGTATAATATTAATGAGCTGACAGTTCAAACATGCAGGTAACAGCCTCAGACTATGGTACATACATTACTACAGACTTTCCAAAAACCAACAACACTTTTTTAAGAGGATTTCATAACTGTTTTGTTCACACTTCTTAGCAATATATAGTCTTAGGAAATGTCTAACCTGCCAATAGTCTTTGCAATGCTTGTGAGTTCCTCTTTAGGGGGAGGGTTACGAGCTCCTGATGGAAAAACTAAATTGATTGGATCAAAGAGTCTTGATAGCGATCTTGATAGGTAAGCAGTTTCAAATACTGACAAACTCTTCTTTAATGCCTGCTCAGCACTGAAAAGATGAAAAGAATACTTCAATATCTCTTGTAAGTTAGTAGAGAGTAATAAAAATATAGGTTTAAGAGTAGATAAATAAGATTAATGCATGCTCCTACCGTACTGCACCCTGGTTCCAGAGGTTTTCTCTTCATAAACAGTTGTTTTTTATTTCGTATTTTTGTCTTTGCTTTTTATTTTTAAAAGCTCAAAAGCAAAGACAAAAGTACAATAAATTCTAAAAAACGTCTATAAAAGAAAAGAAAACCTCTGGGACCAGGGTAACTGTATCGCAAACCAGACTGCACAAACCATTACCTGATTTCCGATGAATCACTTGCTTGAAACAAACCAAAAGAGACTTCACTCGTTGTTACTACAGATGAACTTTTGGTGCTTGTACTAAATGGCTGTAGTCTGGACCACAGGTCATTGTAGAGTCTTAATACCTTAGGATATTCACCTTCAAAGGCTTGTTTAAGAAATGTGGAATCTACAACGCAGACATTATATGTTATCTACATTTTAAGTACAAGAAGGTAGTAAGGATGGACTTTTTGATATTGGGGATGTTTACTATGTTTAGTTGCAATGAGTTCTACATGTAGCAAAATGTACTGTACCTCTAGCAGCTCTGGCAAATTCATCTGATAGAATCTCTGTGAGTGATTTCCAAAATGTATTGACAGAACTGTTACCATCCTGAAATGATATTTTTATTTCATGTAATTCTACATTTAATTTTCATTAGACTGTTCCTGCTTGTTTAGTATTTGTCAGGCTTGTCAGATTTTCATTCTTATACAAAAAGTCATGTATTGTTGACAATTTACTGCTTCATTTTTATATTGTATTTTGTAAAATAACTGATTGTGATTGATTATTATCAAATGTTTATAGTGTGTGACGGACTGTCTGAATGATAGACTCACCCTGTTTAATTCCTCCATGAAGCAAACATGAGTGACAGGGTCTCTTTTCTTGGCCAGTACCTTTTGCAAGTGATATACCTAAATGATACATAACCACAGGCTTATATAAACTTCCATCCATCATTTATGATATAATCAATCAGTACAATGCACTTATCAACCATTAGTACAACATACATATAGTACATCATTCAATCATTTTCCAATTGATCATCTGTCAATCATCAATCATTATCAGTAAATAATTCATCAATTAATCATCTATCAATCATTCAACTATCCATCCAACTGAATAAATATAACCAAATAAACGCTACTGCTAGCCTCCTCTGCAGACACCACTAAGAATCACAAGCTTCCTTTCTTTTTTGGGAGTCAAAAGAGGGAGAATGGGGGCGAGAGAGGGCTCGTCACTAGTCCCTGGAGGCCAAGGTGACCATTACAAAGGAAGCCCATAGGAGGAAAAAAGAGTTGCCTGGGGAGGAGGCTTTCATACTGCAAGAATACCATTGAAATACCTGAGCACATGAGGAATAAATCAGATCCATTAACTTTTCCATTTTAGTCCATAGTGTCGCTCTCATTGCAGCTGTATTTGTTTGTCCTGAGCCTTGAGATTGCGATGTAATGCTGGCTTGAAATGCATCACTAATGCTCTTCCTTAGATTGTTTCTTAATTTATCAATGGTATTGTCTACTGTGGCTGCCAATGAGCCGAGGTTATGAAACACTTGTAAGGCTGTAGCAACCTGCGTTTGATTCTATAACAAAAAATATATTTATTTAATAAATGAATGGATGGATGGATGGACAAGTGAAAAGACAATAGGAAGAAGAAATAGAAGGGATGTGCCAAGAAATGAATGGTTGAATGGAAAAATAAATGAATGAGAAAATTGAAAAAACGAAATTATTATTGAATGTGTGTCACATTACCAAGTTGTAACTGCATATATCGTACTTTAGAAATACAGATAATTCCTTTACCTGAGCTTCTATGCCTTGTGCAAGCATTTTCTGTGCTTGAGCTATAATTTGCTTCTTTGCATCTTGTATCATTTTCATGTCATTTTCAACCACCTAGAAATCATCATTAACTAACTGTAAAAGGTATTTTGTTTTGCAAAGTTAAGAAACTGATAACGCACCTTGATTCCTGTCAAGTCAGCACCTTGTAGAAGGTAGTCTTAAAAGAGAGGAAAGATATAAAAACGAATGAACTAAATGGAAGGGAAACAGCAATACAAAAAGGAATGAATAACAGAAAAAGAAATGGACGAAGAAAATGAATGAAATGAAAAAAATATAGGAAATGAAGGAGTGAGCGAGTTAATTTTTATTAACAAATGATTGAACACATGAATGGGACATTGAATAAAGTGAAATGAACCCACCAAGTTCACATAGACTTTGAGCTGCCTTTGTGATTTCCCTAACACCACCATCTAGCTGTGCCTGTAATCTCTTGGTAAGGTAAAGAATCCTGATAACCCTTCTCAAAATATCACAGGCAGCCTAACATATAAACAAATAATGGAAAAAATGTATACATGTGAATGCTTTTTAACAGATCTGAAAGATCAGAATGTGTACCTGAAGCCGTCTTAGTTGAGCAGTTCTTGATTCAATTTTGTTGTAAGGTTCATTGATCTGTTGCTGTATCCTACATAAGATTTATAAGACTTTTGAGGCACAACTTAATAAAAGACAGCAACTAATTGGAAAGAGAAGTTGCATGCAGATAAAGACAACATATGACCTCACACTGCCTTCTAAAAAGACTATCAAAATGTTTTCTACAGTGTTATATATCTGGATGAGTGATCAATTAATCCTTCAGCCACCAAACCTTCTGTTGCCAACTCCCTCCCAACCCCTCTCATACACAACCCTTATAGAAAATAGACAATGCCTGAATAAAGAGACAGTTAGAAATTTCTTATTTGATAAACAGACAGGACAGAGGACAAGATGCTGACCTTCCTACAGATGCCATAAGAGAGTTTATCCTTCCTTGCATCATTTGCAAAACACCTGAAATATGGTGATATTACTAGTGAGTATATGTATTCTGTGAACTACAAGATGGTTGTACTGACAGGGAAGTGTCAATCAATATTATGGTCAGTAATGCCAATAAAATGTACATGTATACATTATATGACCTCTTGCAGTGCAGACACTCTACCCTAGGACAACTAGCAAGAAAACCTTCAAATCAAAAGTCAGTAGATGAAATCAATAACAGCATTAACCAATTAATTATTGGCTTCTCACAGAAAGCTGATTGGCTACTTGTACATGTAGTCAAATTGTATCAATGGTCCAAGGCAGTGTCGTCACTGGTCCATGCAACATGGAATGCGTCACAAACAAAGTGTATTTACCTTCCAATGTTTCAATTCCTGTTGCTTGTTGAAGTAAGTCATCATGATGAGCTACAACCTGAACAGAGAACACAACAAGGTTTTATACAGTGACAGATCTTATTTTATACTGCATATTGTCAGCCTTTTATTTTTTCAGACTACAAAAACTGAATTGTCACAAGTTGTCCCTCTTACATGTGTAAAGTATCAAGGGAAGATAGAAAGAAGTATTTCCTCCTTTCATTGCATGCATTAGATAATGGAATAGTTTAGAACTGATAGCAACCGCATCATGATGTTGTATTTCTTGTTTCTTAATCATATCATACTCCACATCAACTTTATCTTCATTGCAAGCATTTTGAATTTAACTCTTTGCTTATAAACGACTGGAAACTACTTTGAACACAAAGTGTTACTTAGAATGACACGTTGCAAATGTCTACCATAAAAATACAAAAGCTCAGCTGTCTATTCTGCATAACAAAAGGGTCCAAAAGCCTTCAAAATTTAACTTGCAACGAGCTAAGAGACTTATCTCACCTGAGCATGTAGTTCTTTATCGAGTAAACTGACTCCGTCAGCTAGTTTTGCCAAAGATTCACTGATTGCTCGACCTTGAATGATGCTGTTAGCATATCCTCGATCGTCGAATTCTTCCTCCAAAAACTGCTTATAAGTTTCTACATTGGTACAGTTAAAGGAAAATAATAGTCCATATTAAAATTGTATTTTTTATCATAAATCAAAGTAATTCTGATCAAAAAAAGTGATCAAAATACCGTCATTTTGAAGAAGTCCCAACAAGTCGGCATCCATCTTGAATTTACCAAAGACACAGGGATCCCACAATCAACAGGAAGACCTGGCATGCATCGTCACGAGAGCGGACGACAAGGCTATAGATCCCAGTATCGTGACTGCTGAGAAATGGCTTCTTCAAATGGGAGACTGTCCGACAAGATTGTTCTTATTACCGCTGCTGCACAAGGAATCGGCAAAGCTACAGCTATAGCTTGCGCTAGAGAAGGAGCTCAAGTCATCGCTACTGATATCAATACTGAAAAGTTAAAAGAACTTGACGTGCAGGAGAGAATCAAGACGTGCTTTCTCGACGTGACTGACGGAGAAGCGATCAAAACGTTTGCCGCAGAGATCGAGAAAGTAGATGTCCTATTCAACTGTGCGGGCCTTGTTTTACCTGGAAATATTTTAGAGTGTACAGAGAAAGATTGGGACGTATCGTTTGATATCAATGTTAAATCAATGTATCGATTGTCGAAGGAAATTCTTCCCAAAATGATCGAGAAAGGTAGACTTGAAATATTGAATTAGTGCAGTTGTTTTCTTAAACATATTATGTCACGCGTGAAACATGTGATTATCACGTGATCTTTGCTAACCGACCCTCCCTCCCCCCCACAGTAAGTAAATGATCAGTCATAATATTTGTCTTTTGATTGACAGGTCAAGGCTCCATCATAAACATGTCTTCCGTTGCTTCCAGTACAATGGGTGTACCCAATAGATTTGCGTACTGCACTACCAAAGCAGCTGTTATTGGATTTACTAAATCAATAGCTGCTGATTTTATAAGCAAGGGGATTCGATGCAATGCTGTGTGTCCTTGTACAATCTATACCCCATCACTTCAAGAGAGAATCAATGCCTATCCCGACCCAGAAAAGGCCCTGGCAAATTTTATTGCCAGGCAAAAAATGGGTCGTCTTGGTACTCCTGAAGAAGTGGCTGAATTGGTAGTGTTTTTGGCCTCTGATGACTCCAGGCTTGTTACTGGACAAGCTATCAATATAGATGGTGGATGGTTGTTGTCAGGCTAGAAAACATTGTAAATTAAAAGGAAGGCTTTAATTCATAACAGTCTAATAATACTATTCCGATTGTTATTTTATAAGAAATAAAATGAAGTGATAAATCTACTGCAAGTCTATTTTATCCAAAGCAACTTTCATTCTATCCAAACGGTGATTGACAGACCAAAAATCAGGCAGATACTTAGGACACATTGTATCCATAAAATGAACTCTCCACATCTTTTCAAACTCAAGAAGTCTTTTCTGTTCTTTGACTTTTTGGATGACAACTTCACCATGGCATTTGAAGTTACGATTTTCTTTTTGGACTTCCATGTTTGATGCTTCTTTGAGAAGCTCCGATGTTAGATGTTGACCTTCATAATAGTCATGAAGTATCTGAGAAAGTTCTTCTTTTCGTTTTGTAGGTATCTTGTCTGGTGAATTAAGAAGAGCCTTTGCAGCTGACTTGACTTTCATTTTCTCAGGATCTTGAATGAACTTGGAAAATTCTAAAACACATAATACACTGTTAAGACAAAAATATTTTTGTGGCTACAATTGTAGCTGCCTCTGAAAGAGGCTAGTGTAGCCACTTTGCTATCGTGCTGAGTTTGTGACTGAGTGAGTGTAAACAGCACAGGTAACCCGAAATTATGTAACCATAAGATAATGCATGGCACCGCTTCCTGTGTAGGGCTCAGTTGAATGAGTGCCCCGTTTATTTGTGTTCTCAACTCAATATGTAATTTGTATTCAGGACGAGCCTAAATGTTGAAGTAGTTTAGCGATGAAATTTCAATTCACAATTATATCCATCAATTTCACATTTACTTTTTCCTTGACATTTTCAAAATATCATGCAGTCAATGACTGCCTTTATAATTTACTTTGCCTTGGCTTTTCTCCAATACCTTTGTTGCCAACAGGAGCCTCGTACTCTGAAGCAAGCCTCTGTCTTAACTGCTCATCATAGATGGATGAAAGTCTATGACATTCAGGGCACATCAAGACAACGTCATGTGAGTGGTGGTCTTTCATGCAGTCAGGAAAGTACTTTCTATACTCGTGCGGAACTATATTTTTACGCGAGTAGTTTTCTTCACCTCCACAAACAACGCAGACATTTTGTTTAAATGTTAAATAGTATGAGTCGCCATCATCAGGACGAGCAGAAGGTTCAAATTTCAGCTTGACCGTAAAAGGATCTTCACAAACCAGCTCACCTGGAAAATACAATGCAGACTAGGGATTTAAGATCATATTCAGCTCATTTCCAGTTCAATGCGAGGGACTGCTGTTTTAGCAGATAACCGACTCACTCTCGTAGAGAACAAAAGAAAGCAAGGGTGGCACGGGTAGTCTAGTGGTTAAGCTACTGGCCTCTCACCGCTGTGGTCCGGGTTCGATTCCCGGACACGGACCATATGTGAGTTTGAGTTTGTTTGATGAGTTGTTCTCTCCCTTACCATGAGGGTTTTTCTCCAGGTCCTCCGGTTTTCCTCCCTCAGCAAAAATCAACATGTGAGGAGTGTTGCGTGCTAAAATACTTAATGTAGAGGTAGTGAGTGTGAGAGTACAGGTTCCGCAGTAATTGGCTCACGCTGTTGCGGTGTCCCTGCCCATACTAGGGGCAAAGCTAATAAATTTAAAGCATGAAAAAATGTTGACATTACAATACCTGTAGAAATTTCAATCTTCTTCTATTTGAGGCTTAGCCTGAGCAAAACTTTGAACGTTCTTGGTATACAGAATTTGAGAAAATGCAAATTTATAAGGCCATTGTAATGCCAACATTTTTTCATGCTTTCTTTTGTTGTTGGTAGGTTCTTTGTGCATGAAAGACTGCTGTCGACTAAAGTAGTGGTTGCTCGCTTTGAACGGGAAAAAGGTGTATTAATAAGATATTATACATGTAATCAGTACAACCATTTACCTATTCCTTTGTCCAGATACCACTGAGCTTTCTTCTGATCAAATGCGCACAACATAGCACCATCAGGGGCAATTAACTGACACTTTGTATAAAGAGGGCTCTTTCTCAAAGTGGTGCCCCGTTTAAAAGGCTTCTTGATGCTGTTTGTCTTTGAAGCTGTCTCCTTTTTAATGCTATTGGATGGAGCTTTGAGTAATTTAGATTTAAAGGGCAAGTCTATGATTCCTTTACATAATGAGGTGGCTCTTTGGAAGAAAAGTTGATCAGAAAGCAAGTCTTTGGCATTAATTATATGGCCTTTGGAAGAATCAGTCTCATACTTGTTCAATGATATTGTAAATTGTGTATCTGGCATTTCATACTCTAAACCACTATCTGTTTCATTATGGTGAAAAGTATTGTCAGATTCTGCAATATTTGGGCTATAATTTTCTAAAAAATTACTAAAACTTCTTTTGTTTGATTTGTTTTTTACAAATGTAAGGAATAAATGAATGGCAACAATAGCATCATGCGCTGCATATTCAATTTGCTTCTCAGAAAGGTGTTCTGCTTCCCAGTTACTGCAGCGGACTCTCCAAGATTTCTCCATTTCTACTCCTAAGTATCTTTTACTGATAGCAGCAAGACCCATTTTGGTAGATCCGTCACTGAAACAATTAGATAAATAAATTGTCATCAACTGTATATTAAGATAAATAGGTAAATATAAACAGCCTGGTTTTGATCTATTGTAGTCTAACAGAAAAGTCGTAGTTTTTGCAATGTAAACACCTGCTAGAGATGGCCCTGGGTACTGTAAAATGTAGCATTATACAATACAGTAGATGCAGCTTTTAAACACATTTATCTTACCCCTGTTTATTTTCAACAATGTTATCCTTGTGTGATTGACAGCGCAGTACAACATGTCGTAAATCCACAAATCCACTGACATTTATTCCATACATCCCATTCAACTTTTTGGCATCGTCTTGGATGCCAACTCCAAATTTCAATATGTTTCTATCTTCAAGAATTTCTTTTAATATTCTGGGTAAAATACCTTCAAACTTGCATAGTCTTATTAAAAAACAGTCATTCAAAGGGGTTGCTATTTGGAGTAGAGCCACAGGATGTGTAACAATTCCTTTGTCATTGACCCATTCACAATCTAGACCAAGAAAGTTCATTGAAAAGGGATAACTTTGATATTTCTCCTTGTAAGCTCTCAAAGCTTGTTCACATTCACTAGGATTGCTAAGTACAAACACTTTCGCTAACTTCACCACTTCATCCCTTCGAAATACTTTTTGAATCTGTTTTAGAAGTCTTAAAGTTAACCATCTTGAAACTTGTAAAATAGCCACTGTCATAACTGTCATGAAACAGACCAAAATAGCAACTACCAAGGAAGACAGTGAAAGGCGAGATTCATTAAATACCATCTGTAAAATTGATCTTTAAGTCGTTTTACAGCTGAAAAACGATAATCGAAAAAGAGAGAAAACAGTTTTTTACAACTTTTTGCACAACATTGTGCAACAGAGCCCGCAATCTTCTTGTCAGCACCACAATAATGATGCATTATTGGTAAATTGACAGGAGCCTGGCACTAGTTACTTACTGCACGTGTTGCAAAACAAGATGGTTCGTCCAAGTAAGCAAGAAAAATCATGTATTTTTAGTTTTATATGTGTCTTGATCGCTAAATAATGCTCAATGTTATGTTATAGAGAAAAAGAGCAAGCGAATGGAGGCCAAGCACAAATTTAAAGTCAAGAAAAAGGTACGTTTTTGAAGATTTTCGAAAGTCTTCAACCTCTGTTCAAATGAAAACAGTCATTTTCTTGTCTTGAAAAACTTTTTCTATTAATCAATCCTCGATAATTTTGGTAGAAACAGTGTTTTATGGTAATGAATTAAATGCTAAATGATGGCATTTGTGGGACTCCCTTAATGATTAAAGTTTATGTTGATATACACGTAACCGTATAAAAACAGCTGTTCGTAGATCATCTTTTGTTTTGAGTCTAATATTGTCATGTCTACACTCTTCATGTACGAGTATGTTATTTGCAGGTTGCAGAACACAACAGGAAACTGCGCAAGGAAGCTAGAAAAAGTGGAATCTCAAAAAGTGAGATAATGCCATTCATTCATTCATTCCTGTTTTCCCTGCATTTCCCATTTGCTCATCCATCCATTCATTTATACATTGACACATTMATTCATTTTTCAATCTATCCTCAATTTATTTATTCATTCATTTTTTTTGTGTTTTAGAGAAAAAGAAAGATCCAGGGATCCCAAATCTTTATCCATTCAAAGACCAGCTCCTGAGACAAATGGAAGAAAAGAAACTTAAGGTGTTTAAATTGGATTTTCACATTATAATTCAACTTTAGAAACATTTCTTAATGATTTCCATTGTTATTACACTGCCAGGATGAAGAATTTAAGAGAAAAATGAAAGAAAAGCGATTGAGAGAAGTCAACAAAAGAAGAAATTTGTTCAATTTACAAGAGGATGCTATAAAACGAGCAAAGGAATTTGAAAAAAAGGTTTATTTACAATCTTAAATTACTCATTTACTGTAGAGAAAATAGAAATACAAATTTTAAAATCTCTTTTTCATTAATATTAAGCTTGATATTAGATATCAGACATGTTCCATTATAAAAAATACTTTCTTTTTATAGAAAGCAATGAAGGAGAACTCAAAGGATGTAGGATTTGTCATGGGTGCTAGAAATGGTTTGTGCGCATCTTCGTCTTTAACTCTAAAATGTGTGGTCTTTTTCAATTAACATTACTTAAATATCCTAATTTATGCCTTATTATTTATGAGCATATTATCTTTCATTTTAGAAACTTCACTCAAAGCTTATTACAAAGAATTCAAGAAGGTAGAAGTTCATCTTTGTCAGCTTCAAAACACAATTATTGCCATTGTCACTGAATTTATTGTTTATTTTTCCTTACATTGGTATATTTAGGTTGTAGAAGCAGCAGATGTCATTTTAGAAGTTTTAGATGCAAGAGATCCAATGGGATGTAGGTGTCCACAGGTAAAGATCAGTTTTACATGAGTAAAACATAGCATAGTGTATTAATCACTCCATTGATGTAGATGATTAGTCACAGCGGCTAAAGGTAATAGGCTTGCTCTCAAGAGATGTTCAATCAATAAACTGTTTTTTCTAGGTTGAGCAATCTGTATTGGCATCTGGTAGCTCAAAAAAACTTGTTCTTGTTTTGAATAAAATTGGTAAGTTTGTTATATCTTTAAAATGTTATTTATTCATCAAGTGAAGGTATAATGCAATTATTTTCGTAGACCTTGTTCCAAAAGAAATAGCTGAAAAGTGGTTAAAATACTTGAGGAATGAATTCCCTGCCGTTATTTTCAAGTCATCAACGCAAACTCAGAAACAACACTTGGTATGACATTGACTGTCCATTGTCTGTCCACCTGTTTGTTTGTCTGTCTGTCTGACTCATAAAGTAATATTTGTAAATCATATTTTTTAATCAATTCAGAGTCACAGTAAAGTATCCATTAATATGGCCAACAAGGACATCTTATCATCAAGCTCCTGTGTTGGTGCCGACACACTGTTAAAACTTCTTGGAAACTACTGTCGTAATAAAGATATTAAAACTTCAATAACAGTTGGTGTTGTAGGTAAAGATTTATAAATCTGCTCTCTCTCTCTCACTACGGTACAATTTCCAGGAAAAGTCTGGTAACATCTTGGACTACTTGAATGCAAAATAAGCATCTATTGTTTTGACCTTCTCAAATGTAATTCATCTGTCCATTTTAGGTTTTCCTAATGTTGGAAAAAGCAGCATCATTAACAGCTTAAAACGAAGTAGAGCATGTGTTGTAGGAAATACACCAGGGGTTACAAAGTAAGTTCTGTACAATGTACAATATGTAATATGTTTTGTATTTTGTACATACAGTATACACTTTGTTATATCAATAAACGAAAAAACTAAGCGGAATATACTTACATATGTGACGTCTTCTACACTTACAATAACTGTAAGAAATTTTCATAAACAAAACTAAGAACGAAATACACAAGGAACTGGCAAACAAAGACACGTAAAACAGAAACAAAAAAAAGGCAAAAATAATAATATTTACAAAGGACTAATCTAAATGCATTTATCAACACTATCTGACAGCTACAAATATTGTTATATCAATGTTGCAATTTACCAGGTCAATGCAAGAAATCCAGTTAGATAAACATATCAAGCTACTAGACAGTCCAGGTATTGTGATAGATACTGGTCACTCTGATGCTGCAGTGATTCTCAAGAACTGTGTCAAGGTAATGTGGAATCCATGTTTATCTGTACCACACTGTGATATGACAACTCTCTTTTTTCCTAAAGAAGTCCATATCACATTGTCGTCTTTTGGGATTCCTGTATGTCATCAAAAGAAAGTTTAATATTCATCTTTCACTTAATCAATCAATAGTCATATATTTTTTTTTTTTGTTTCAGATTGAAAACATTGATGATCCTGTTCCCCCAGTAGAAGCCATTTTAAGAAGATGTAGTAAAAAACAGGTAAAGATGATTAAAAATTATTCAGTATGTGTACAATGTAATTACTAAAAATTGTTATTTTTAGGTTATGGAGAAATACTGTGTTCCAGACTACAAAGATGTCAATGAGTTTCTTACACATTTAGGAAAGCGTCTTGGAAAATTGAAAAAAGGTACATTTTCTCAATTGTGTTACTTCTTGACATAGTAATTACGTTGTATTACTAAAAGTTTCTTTGTGACATTGATTAAAACAAGAATTTATAGTCACAACATGATTATATGTTTGCCGCCTTTCAAACATTGCCTGCTGCTTATCTCAAGAATACAGTCATGTACATATGTAGTTTTTGAAGATTTCTAAGTACTGGAAAAGATTGTTATTTACTGTCTGTCATTTAATTGTGCAGGTGGTGTTCCTGACATTTCTGCTGCTGGTAAAATGGTGTTGCAAGACTGGAATAGGTACAGATAAGCTACTTACATGCATGTATAATTATTCTATATTTTTTCCTCAAAGATAGAGGTATGGCACTTACCAGAATGTCAGAACTAAAGTCTTCACAAAACGTTGAAACTTACAGTATAGTGCAATAATGTGAAATTCATTTTTGTTTCAGTGGCAAAATCCAGTTCTATACACATCCCCCAGAAATACATACAATGCCAACTCATATTTCAGCTGAAGTTGTTTCAGAATGGAGCAAGGAATTTGACCTCGTAAGTGTTAACATTATTTTACCTGATACCAAAGATAAATACTGTATGTAGCTATTTCAAAAAAGGTTGTCAGATAAAATGGCGAACAGCAGTGGTCGAACGGCAATTGCACAACCGAAAGTAGCCATGGGTTTTGCTCGTTGAAAGGCAATAATAACTGATTTATACTGTAAGAAAGCCTTTGGTGAACATTGGCTCCATTTAGTCACCATTTCTATGCAAGGTGAATCCAATAAGTGCAAGTAACAGTGTAATCATAGTCCCTTTCGGTCGTGCATTCTCCATTTGACAATCCCCGCTCTCTGTTCTCCCTGACAATTTTTTTTGAAATAGCTGTATACAAACTGTATAATATTAGATTTGCAAGTAGCTTTTTTCTTAAATCTTCTCTGGTCTGATCAATGCTATGTTTCTATATTTTCAGACCTCACTGCAGAAGGATGAGGAAAACGAATTGCATGGTAATTTAGCCAGTCATGGAAATGTTTATTTCACATACACCTACTTGCGAAATCGTTGTCATATAGAAAATAGGACATTTGTATTTAGTAAAAAGGAATAAATCAAAAATACAAAAGAAGATCACTGAGGCTGAACGCTTTCTTTTGTCTTGTTTTAATTTATTCCTTTTTACTAAATTCAAATGTTCTATTTTCTATGACAACGTTTCTGCAAGTAGGTGTATTCATTCAATTATTCATATTGTCAGTTAGTTTATTAATATTTTTTGTGTGTGTGGAATAGGCCTTGGGAGCCCTATGGAAGATGCAATGATTTTAGAACCAAGTAAACCCACGGATTCATTACAACAAGATGAAGAAGATTCAATGGTAAGGACAAGTGTCAGTTTTTTGAATTAAACTTTTTTTACTTTTTATAACAACTTAGGTTGTTTACTGATATGCAACAGGTCTTTTTGGGATCTTTCTCTTAAACTCTTTACACTGTCCTTCGGTGTTACTTTGCTTGTCACAAAGCATAGCATTAGACGCCAGTGATTGAAAATTGGTGAATCATCTTTGTTCTTGTTCTTGAAGGAATCAGGTGAGGATGAAGAGTGTCCTAGTGATGATGATGAAGAAAGTGATGAAGGAGAATCAGGCGAGGAAATGGATGAAAGCGAGGTACGTAATCTCATGTCTTCAACAGACAATATTACATGTAAATATCCATAATATTGTAGACATTATGCAAGACTTTTTTACATGAATTATTTTATAGGATTACTTTCATCATTGTACAGTGTAATACTGTATGAGGTTTGAACACTCAACTCAATCATTTCAGTGTTGAAAATGTTGTGCTCTTATTCCTAGGAAGAGCAAGAAGACATGACAGTTGTATTATCAAAACCAAAGACTTCAAGTACAGACCCTGTAATCAAAGAAAAAGAAAAACCAGTATTGAGTTTTACTGAACAAAATGAATTTAATCAACAATTAAACAAAAATAAGAAAAAGGTGAGAATCATGAATTCAAATCCTTAAAGCAGTGACCAGTACCTCATCCCTTTTATAAGGTTGTCTTCCCTCCACCATTGGTGGGAATTGTGTTGTAATCTGTTGGTAATTATGGTAAAGGAACTTCATCATTTTATTTGCATCTACAGGAATTTAAGAAGCAGCAAAAAGAAAAGAGAAAAAGTAAGTGGTAATACAACTATAAATCCAGAAGTGAGGGGGCTGCTAATAGTCTATATGTACTAAATAGACTGCTAAATGAATACACTAGTCAAGAACATCTTTTCCAATCCATCTACTTCATTACTTCATCGTTATTGAGTTCTGAATTTTTTTTTTTTTTTTCAGGAGAAAACGTGAAAGATAGCCACATGGATGATGATGAAGATAACGAAATGTACTCTTTTGATACAGACTTTGTTTGACATCTTAATAAATTATGTAAAATTTAACTGTGAACACTAAATGACTCTTATCGATATCCATGCAATATGTGTGGCATCATGTATGTGAAGGGGAAGCAAACCAAAGTAAACATGGGAAGATATAACCTGCAAAACAGATATATTCTCTTAGAAAGAGGCATATTAGGAGTTCTTACCTCATTCTTGAGCAGGGCATGTTTTGGCATGTATTTATTCAGCCTTCCTGCTAAGAGGTATTTTTTTCATGAACAGGAAGGACTAGTTTCTGAAGGATGTAAGCACTCCCCTGATGGAAACACTAGCTTTGTAGGTTAGGGGATTGAGTGTTATTCTACAGTAAAATTATCTTCAGATAGTTTGTTTTTTTCATTTTCCATAAAAAAAGAGGGAAACCGTGCGCACCAATCACATTTGCGCGCAAAGTATCGAAAAGAGACTGGGTCTTAGAATGTTGGGCTCCCTGTGTAGTATGCCCATTGCGCAAGCGCACTTCAAACCTTGACGTGGCCTGCTCCTTGTTGGTAAATTCCACGCGAAAAAAGACATAACTTTACTCAGCTGAAAAAGCTATAAAACTACTTTCTTTTGATTAGATCACATTATCTWGTCAAAGAAAGAAGACCCTTCTTAGGATCTGTCTACAATTTCCATATATTTCCGTGAGATTTCTACGTTTTGGCTTTGACTACATCATGGGTTTGAGTATATCTAGTCTGTTCAATCGCCTCTTTGGCAAGCAAAATATGCGTATTCTAATGGGTAAGTGTACCTATTTTGGGTTTACTTTAAGTAATAATACATGTACTCTCTTCTATGGTTATTGCATAACGGTGATAGAGAAGAATCTTTTGTTGTTTTACGAACAGAACGATGTTATTGTGTTTTGCCGGTAGCTTGTCCCAAGAAAAACAATACACGCTAAAGCTATATAACTTAAAGTATTGTGATCTTTTGATCGTAGAATGAAGTCCTTTTCAGTCTTATTTCTGAAATTATTTATAATGGTGAAGACATGTAATACATGTGTCTAGCATTTGTATTCCAATCATACCAATATAGATACAGATATACAAGATACCCAAATTACATTAGACTTAAGATATAAAACACTTTGTGAGCCAAATCCAGGGTAATGAATGGCTGATATTTAAGCTTATGTGTGAAGTGAAGGTGTGATAAATATAATTGGTTTGCCAGCCATTAATTCTATTTTCACCATTTTCCTTAAATTCCTGTATGTACCAAGTAACAACAGGGGAACTGAGTATGCCTTGATAGATCCCTGTGAACAATACCTTCATTTAGAAAAAAATGATTCTATTACCTCTAGTTCAAGCATCATTACTTTGATGCAAATGCGTGTCTATCATTCAAAAATATGACATTATTATCAGCAAAAAGTAGTGTTATGTTTTCCATTTTGCTTACTTAAGCTATTCTTGTTTTAGTTGGACTTGATGCAGCTGGTAAAACTACAATACTTTATAAATTAAAACTTGGTGAAATTGTAACTACAATCCCTACAATTGGTAAGTTAAGGCATATATCATCATCATTATATTGAGTGGCATATATCATCTCATGTCATAGATACATTGAAGAAAATATATGACAACTGTTACTCCAGGCTTATACGAACAGACTATAAATCATACAGTATTGATGTTACTATAGAAACAAGTGACAGGTTCAATTATCATAGTGAAAAAGTAAGGGATAAAAGGAAAGTCTTTGCTTGTATTTAGGATATCGTAGTACAGGGATGTAATTACATTGAAAGTCTGATTTTACCCCATTTTCACAGACTTCATGTTTAGAGTATGGATTATACTGTAACTAGAAATTGTATAATATATCACTTGTTTTTCTTTCCAAGGTTTTAATGTCGAGACTGTTGAATACAAAAATATTTCCTTCACTGTATGGGATGTCGGTGGTCAGGATAAAATTCGACCATTGTGGAGACATTACTACACTAATACACAGGTACAAGAAATTTAAAACAATGAACAATTAAAGACTTTCTAACTGGTCCTTTAACAGTCTGAGTAGTCTTTTGTTTAGCTAAAAAGGTGATTTCAAAGTAATGTAAATGGTTGACTGGTTGACAGGGGGATTGATTGGTTAGTTACATGTACATGTACATGTAGGTAGTTCATTGATTGATGGATCGATTGATTGGCTGGTTAAATCACTAGTTTTTCGTTAGATCAATATTAATTTGATTGTCTGGCTGATTGTTTTTGGGGCGAGATCAGTGACTACACTGTAGCTTACATGTATTATCACTTGGGAGAGTTTATATTGTTCGATAAGAGACTGCCTAGTGCGTTAATAATCACTCGCTGTCAAATTTTAAGATATTTTTGCAAATGTAACGCAAGATGATTATTATAATAATTTAAATTCTGCCATTCACCTAAACCTTTTCTTATTTTCAGGGTCTTATATTTGTTGTAGATAGTAACGACAGAGAGAGAATAACTGAAGCTGCTGAAGAATTAAGGAGAATGGTAGGCAAAAGAAACCTTTTACATCTTATCATTTACATTAAAGTGCTACTTGCATGAAAATGGCCTTATTTCAAAACTTCACGCAATACAAATATATGACTCATTTATATCTATTAAAAACAATTGCGGGAAAATATTTGTCTTGGAATTATCCCACATCAGAGAAATTTTGATTCAAAAGATGGAAGAACAAAAGGATTGAGTAAATGACGTCATCTACTCCAACATTTTTTGCCCAAATTATTAAGGATTTGCATCAATATTTTCTTGAAATCTGTTGCTTCATGATTATTACACCCATATGGATAGGTCTATTTGATTTCCAAGTCCTTTCTAATGTTTCGCAATTTTCGTCCGAGTAGCCCTTTAAAATCAATAGTGCACTATTTTGTTGTTAACTATTCTTCTTGATTCTTTAGCTAGATGAGGATGAGCTTCGAGATGCCCTTTTATTAGTATTTGCCAACAAGCAAGATCTMCCCAATGCTCTTTCCATCACAGACATTACAGACAAACTTGGTYTGCATCAACTACGTGGCAGAAAAGTAAGAATAGTACTGAGAAACTCAAAGTGAAATACTCAAATTGTATTTTTATATACAACATTATGATCTAATAATGAATTTTGTTGCAGTTCCATGTTCAAAGTGCCTGTGCAACCCAAGGAACTGGACTTTACGAGGGTCTTGACTGGCTTTCACAAGAACTTTCCAGATAAACAATGAACTATTGAGTATTTACAAGAATCCAAAGCTAATGCCAAGCATATAGGAGCAGTATTTGTAAATTGATATATCTCTGTAGGAAAACTAATAGGGACAGCGGTGCATTTATCTCAACATTCATAAATGAAAAAAATATGCTTTTAAAAGGATCAGGAATTAAGAGTGAGATTGTTTCTCTGTTTTTATCAATGAAATGGCCTCACTTTGTTGACTAGTTACAGCTTATCAAGCATATAGATTTTACAATGTGTAGATTGTTTATTGTAATCATGATAGAAAATTGTTGTAATACGACTTGTAGAAATTTTTCCTTGTAGGTTTTTCAATGGCTTTCTCTGCAGATGCACTTCAACCATAATTTTTTTTATGGAGCTATATAATAACTGCATTATTTTCATTACAAAGATGACAACTTTGTTGCATTGTATTAGCAGTATTGGTATTATGACCTTGAATTGCAAAGATATGCTTGTCAAATGCCATCCACACTTCTAGTGAAGTCCACTTTAGCTCCTTTACATGACAGAAGCTTGTATACATTTTTTGGAAAGACGTATTTGCATGTTTAAGTTTTCAAAACAAATTTATTGTCCRATATTCTCTCAAATTGGCCCATTCTAGTGTTCTAGTTAACAAATTATGGTAATAAATTAGTGTTTGCAACATATAGGTAGCTATAAAAGTATTTGTTAAAGAGGTATCTATAGTAGGTAGAATGCAATTCTTTTTGATTGAGACTTCTTGCAGTGACATAAATTGTTCCATGCTTGGTTGTGATAATTGGATAATAATTATGATATTTCCCACTGCAAAGAATCTCAAGTCATTATTTTTAATGTGTAAGGTTTTGTCATCTGAAAGCCAGGTACATTTTCATATTGGATTTWAARMAAACTTTGGTGGAATACATCTGGTTTAGTCTTTTTTCATTGCCTAAGTTGCAYGTTGAGACAGTAGCTTTGTTACAATATAAGGTTGAGAATCATTTGSTTCTTGTTTCAACTMAMTKTGGMMATTTGAAATCCAATGTGAAAATGGAACTSCATTGCTACTTTAAGTACAGGAAACAGCATTGCTTAGTGAGCTCATCATAAAGTGTTGTCCTAAATATTTTGAAATCAATAAAGTAATGTAAGATTTTTCAATGCATCTATTTTATAATCAAATGGTGACTTAACTTTAACTCACTTTGTCGGGGAACCCCCTTTCAGTAGGTGCAGGGGGAAATTCCTAAAATCACCCATATAAGAGACCATCGTGAGATAATGTCAGATGACCTGTCATTTCGGTTGAGTTCTCTTATTATTGGTTTGCTACATAATGTTGTCTGCTTTTTGGAGTTAAGCGTGGATTTCACTAGCRCATAAGCATAGCATAAGCACAAGCATGAGAATCWTATGCRYCAGTGAGAACGGGCTCGAAATAAGCATAAGACATTGAGCATGCGCAYGAGMGTATTATTTCGGTACCAGGCTATGCTTGAGCCTATGCAGTCCCGTTCTCACTGAACATAAGCATGACATAAGCATGAGATAAGCACAAGAAGATCAAGCCTTGCTCGTTTTTCTTGTGCTCATGCTTATGCTTAATTTTTGAGCCCGTTCTCACTGGCGCATATGACTCTCRTGCTTCGTGCTTATTCCTATGCTTATGCGCTAGTGAAATCCACGCTTTAATGATCTTATCCTGCTAGCTTTGGGCATTATTTCAAGCGATGAGGACCGGCGCCCCCTTTAATACTGTCCCCCAGAAATCAAACAAGAGTGAAGAGGAAAGAGTATGTTTGGAGTTCCTGTGTTTTGCGTTGCTRTAGAGAATGGTAACTAATCGAACTCCGGTAGTTAGTACAGGAACTGAAAGACGTCAAAGAAACTTAAAATTGTATACAAAATGACTAAATTGTTGCAGTGGCTACTATTTGGTTTTATTGCAGTTACAACATGGCTTTCGTTGCTAATGGGAATGGTACCTTTTCACGTCTCTCATCGACTGAAGGAAGTTATATGGCCGGTAGGTTTTTACACTCGAAATGACCCCTGTCCAAAAAGCATGAAAACATCAAATCTTTTTTACACTGATACTTATAGTAACTGATTATAACATATCTATATTYTTTTTCTCGTTGYTTCTACAGATGCCAGTTTACGCGATTATTGTTTTTGGGGTATGTAAAGTTATTTGTTTGAACGAGAAGTGTACGTCTTCTTCGTTGTGCTGTTTGTATGTCATTTTTAACATATTTTGTTGTTATTTTTTAGTGTTATTCGCTTATTGTTATTGGTTATAGAGTTGCTACATTTAATGACTGCGTCGAGGCATCTGAATCTCTAAAAAAGGTAAAACAATAAGAGTCCTTTTCAAACAGCTGACTTCGGTACGGCTTGGTGGWGTTACAACAAAGCTCAAAATATGTTGAAATTACTATATTTCTCAGGATACAATTCAGATGAAAGTGCAATACCCTTTTTATATATGTTTATTTGATTTGGTATTGAGATGTCTTTGTTACTATTAAGGAAATTTCTAGTTTTAACGAATGATAGAAAATGTCCACATCGCCACGAAGCAGATTTTTGCCAGGCGTCTCCCGTTGCCATGTCACATGCGGGAGTCTAGTGACTAATCTTCTCTTTCTTTCTCATTCTTTCCATTTTGCCAAAATTTGAAATTCCAAATATGTTTTCATTTATGTGTTTTATTAAATTAAGCACTCGACTTACTTAATCCTCCTTTTTTAGGAAGTTGAAGAAGCAAGAAAAGATCTCACAAAGAAAGGATTYAAATTCAACTAGCAGTTTTTTATGAAAAAAAAATTAGACCAAAAATATTTGTAACAGCAAAATGTTCAATTATYTAAGCAAATTACAATTTTACAAAGTCAAGCTCAATGTTTGATTGAAGAAAAAAAAGCATCTAGGATATTTTGTTCCTAGTTTTTTTTCCTGACAAAGGGAAGAGAAGGTTGCATGGGAAGATATAGGACTTATGAAGTACTATGCAACGCAAATAATAATTTTACCTCGATAAACATAAAAAATCTAGATAATATCATACAGTAGTTGAATAAATTTTGTATCCAAAATGTTGCCAGACATTACTGAGATGTAAAAGAACATTAGAAATACTGCATACTTACTGTAAAATAATCCAAAAATATGACTCAAATTACATTTACAAATAAAATGTTTTATTATAATAATTTAATGTGCTATACAAAGTTGTCTAGATATAATAATTGCAAGTACTTTATTGTTAAATTTTATTAAAAACCTTTAGAACTCCCTTGAAGAGCAGATATCCTCGACTTAACTTGGGCAATATTTGCCCCTTATATTTGCCCCTTAATTAAGACCACTTGCGAATGCTGCTCTTTGTTTTTCAAGCTTGAGAACATACATGAAAACAGAGAATTCTACTCCCAAGTGGTAGAATCTATCAGTCATTTTATTGACAATTCATAGAATTTAGTGTAGCTCACTTCCTTCCAAATAAAGTGGGGAACAGTTTGAATATTTCTTTTACAATGTATTTATCCTTTTGAGATTCCATCTCTACTTCTTCACTGATACGCTTTAGAATTATGTTTATCTCGGAGCACAAGTGTTTGTGTTCGGCGTAATCTGTGTTTGTCAGTACTAGATGAAGYAAGGAAAGGTATTCTGTTCTTAACTGAAAAAAAAGGAACAAAAATGGTCACAGATTTTGCGCAAGCAGTCACTCACCTTCTGTCCCATGCTGTCTATGACAAAACTAYACACAAATGTCTTACACTATTGCCAGGGTTGAGGTCTGTAATCTGTCTTACTGCAATCTCTAAGAGGACCATCATGTCYGAAGTAAAGAACAATCCTGATGTACTTCTACTGGAAAACGTATCAGATAAAAACTTGAGAACTGAATTAGAGCAAAACTTTGGATAGTTTTCAAACAACCAGGCTGGGTCCTCTGCARAAGAAGAAAAACGTTAGGTTTATATGTTAATATCACATGGTTTTCTGTGTAATCTTCTGCAAGAACACAACTATATTCAACTGATACTTTTTGACAATAGTCTCCTTCACGGTTCCCTGTGCCATCGTGAAAGGTTTCTATCATTGCACAGTCACTCAATGGTTATCTAGATTCGATGCAAAGGCATGGCTAACTTTCAAGATGGTGCAGGGAAACATGAACAAGATTATTGTTCTATACAATTAAACATGTACCTCCTCTGTTGAAAAGCAGCATCACTTTTTCACTGAGTGTTTTTGCTGTCCTACAAGAAGCTAGTACCTCCATTACAATATTACTTTTTGGGTCTACAATGAGAACAATAATTGTCATAATACAAGTAAGAAAGTGAGTTTGACTAAATGGATTAAATGAATGAACGAATGAAAAATTGGATGGATGAATGAACAAACAAATTAATATTGACCAGGTGAATTGTAAACCTTTGTTTTACCTGCAAAATGCTGGTTAAAAGCCAGTATCAGCCCTGTAAATGARTCTATTATCTGATCGCCATCTTCACCTTCTGGTGCCTGTTCAATACTTTGCACCAAATAATTTACAAAATTTTTATCTAARTGTTCTTAARAGAAAAASAAAACAAAAATTAATGTTAAATTAGCTGTCACACAGAGTTACCAAAATTGTAAACTGTGTAGATGTCCTGCTTGGGTTTCCTGTCCCCTTTTTTCCACAGGAAGCCCAAGAGGCTAGTAATTGAAAAGTAATGCGCTTCTTACCATACAACCAGTATGGCACTGGCTCAGCAGTTGAAAATATCATAGTTAATAGAAGWGAGGAATATAACTGGAGTTGAAGGTCTGAAACAAAGAAACAAAAAAAATAATGTGAATCCTGAGAGCTTTAGTCTTGGTGTATGTGTAAAGGTCGCATTACGTGCGACCGAAACCAAACACRGCTGTGAGGAGACTATGAGAACTTATGTTGGATAAAAAGGAGTTAAATTCATAATACATTACCATCTGCAGCCTGTAATGTTCTTGCAAGTTCACCAGGAAGAATTGAACAGAGAAGTTGAGTTATGACTTCCTTGTCAATCCCACACACACAGCCAAACACTTGAAGTAACTGAAGYCTTATYAATGGTCGGTGTTCCTAAAAATATCAACACAATGCAGAGTTACATGAACGAAACTAAACAGCGCTAAAAAGAGACTACACATTCATTAATGGATGGATGAAAGAATTTATAAATGAATGGAAGAATAAATGGAGTGATGAATAAGTTAATGAATGGATAAGTAAGGTGTCTATAAGTAACTTACCATCTGAAAATAAGCAACCATTGATTGAAGGTATTTAAAGTCATCCTGACCAATYACAGCCTTCGAGACTTTCTGATTAGCATCAACCTAGAAATGAAACAAAAACAGTTATTATACAATATCAATATTGTCTAATTAACAATACAGTTGTCAATCAAACTTATGCTGGAATCAGATTAACAAGTGTTCCTTTTTGGTGTGTTAGTAACCTGGGAAACCCATCCATYSCCACCCCTCCCTCCTGTGGGCCAAAATTGGTAGAAGGGGGCTTACAACYGGTGAGAGAGTTCRGGAAATCGCTGTACWYAGTCTAWTCCTTTTTTCAAACAATAAATTTTGTTTRGCTGAATATTATCTTCCTACCAAGAGAGCAAGAAGTTGATTAAGCTGTTCYAGTATGATTGGTTCGTCTAAATGTAAAGCCCAGCTTCTTTGTTGTGAGTCATCTTTGTGTTCTGTAAGCGCTACTAATATAGACTCTATGTTCTTGGCATCATGGGTCACTAGTAAGCTTTCATCTGTGTGCACTGCATTCTCCTATTACAAAAACAATGAACGAATACAGTAATTATAAAGCATGTAAACAAGCTAAACATTATCCTACTACATGTGGGATGATCATGAAATAAACAGAATATTGCATGGTTGCTTGGAGATACAGATTTTATCTTCTTGTGTGGTAAAAATCTCTCATTCATTTGCTGTGCTTGATCTCTGCATGTCCCTGTAAATTCCTTTACATGTATATTACGTGTTATTACCCTTTCATTGACAACTTCCTGGATAATTTTATCCATTGCTTCAGACAAGACTGGAATTTCTTTCTTGATATGTTGCAACACAGTTTCTGTTACAGTGAATGACGCTTGATAGCTTATCGTTGAGCTACAAAACACACAAAAAACTCATCAGAAGGCTGCAAACTACAAATAAATTGTAATCATAAAGCTGAAAAATGTTTGATAAAGTTGAAACAAAACTGTGGAGCTACAAGAGGTAAGAAGAGGGCTGTACAGCAAGAGAACAAATACTCAGCACCAGTCCTACATGTGCTCTAGATTATGATACACAGGAAGACCAAGAAGACCAAAAAGTCAGTGTGGAGGAAGCTTAACTATGGCTTCTTTTGGAAATTCACTGATATTTGTAAAAACTTACTTTATTCTCAGCTCTTCCAATAAATTTGTAACAAAATTAGAAGGTATTTTAATSTCTCTGAATGCCTCAGATGATGCTGTTGAAGACACTATGAAGTAAATAGATATTAATCAAACATTAATTTTATTAATAAAGTAAAATCATCATCAATTACAGTATGTTTCTATTTATCTATGAATTGATTGAGTTTGTCAAATATTTTGTATTTATCCGTTCATTTATTTTCTCATTTATTCATTTGTATCTGTACATTCAACCATTTATTTATTCATCCAGTTATTCTTTCCATTCATTTATTCAATTTTTTATTTCCTATATCAATCTGCAGTCTCCCATTTCTTGTCTTGTTTACTTATTCATTCATTTTCCCATTCAGTCTTAGAGTGCACGCCACATAAGTGTGAAACAATTTTTAAATTAGTGCCTGATAAGATTTAGTTATCAACTAACTAGGAATTCAGCGAGGCGTAAACACAGAAAATTTGCTTTTCTGGCATTGCATTCAGTGAATTCTTAGTTGGTTGATAACTAAAGCTTATTACTTGTTGATTATTAAGAAATATTTCATGCTTTTTTGTGGTGTGCACTCTATCTCAATAATTTTCTTCCATTCTCTATAGACCTGCACCCAAACAGTCACTATCAACACACATGAAATAACTTACATAAGGAACAGGAACCACTCTCCTGCAAACAAGAAGAGTCTACACCAGTTTTACCCAAAGACGTCCCTTCCCCTTTTGTATTGGATGCATCACATTTAACATTAGGAGGAAGACGTGGAGCCTGTCTTCTTGGTTGTGGAGGTGGCTCATTATCTTTYTTTTGTGGTGGCTTTGGAGCAGATCGCTTCTGTGAGGTTTGTTTCTTTTGAGATAAGATTGATTTACGGTGACCTAGAAGTTTCCTGAGGGAAAGAAAGARAATCTTTAGAGAAGAAAAATGGAAGAGTAATATGATAATGATAATTATGTAAAAAGATAAATTTAACACCGTAAAAAAGTATGTGATAATACTCCGACGAAGGATTAACGTCCGAAACGTCAGTAAGTTATTTCACATACTTTTTTACGGTGTTAAATTTATCTTTTTACATAATTGTTTCTTTAGAAGCATCGATACAGCTCACACTAGTTTACCGCTAGTTCCCACCATGATAATGATAATATACAGACAGTCATTATGGAAATCAAATATTCTTACTTTAAATTAGATCTCTGTTCATTTGTGTACACTCCRCCATTATTGGCAGCCTGGGCATGTATAACTTCCATGGCTCTTTCTATTGACTTCAGGACTGCTTGCCTTGCTGCTGGACTCTCCTGTAAATCAACAAGCAGACTGAGTATCGTACACCATTCCCACCCCCTCCCCACATAAACTTACCGTTCTAAAGTTACAACTGGTGTTACTAGTATTTTTAAAACAATATTGTTATTTATAAATCTAGAAATCAGGAATTCATAAGTATTGTTTCCACAATTCAACCAACATGTACACCACAACATGAAAGTTTAATGACAAAAATAAATATAATATTTCATTCATTTTTTGCCTTTTTCCTTTCAGWCTCTTTCTAATTACAATTTTTCACTTTCATACATTTATTCCTTATCTCAAAGTATATGCGCATTATACAAATAAAAATATGATAGATAATGCAAAAACAGTTAAGAAACTTGTATGCAAGCTAACTAGCTAATTTGACACGAAGCTCATCTGTCATAACTGACAACTCGAAGCAATTTCATGTTCTCGGCCTATAAGCTTAAGTCTTATTATCGTAAAATATGTTTTCTGCGTGGACATTTTGCAAGCAAAAAATAGCACTATCAACCAGCATTTGATCTTTACAAATATCAAGCACTTTCACAATTTAATCAAACTTCAAAATACATACCAATTCATTCTCGTCTGGCTCCAGGTAGCTCGCCGGCACGAGTCCAACATGACCATTTTCGCCTTGCATTTTCCACCAGTTTGCGTCATGTTCTTGAATAAATATAAACTTTTCTCCCGCTCTTATACGCAGAACATCTTCTTCTTCAGAGGAAAAGTCATAAAGCGATCGATACATGTCTAGTTTGTATTATTTTTTGTTGTTTTTGCAAACCAAAATAACCACATCTTCGTCCACCATTTTGTTTTCGTATCAGTCCCAGTCTTTTTGTCCGTGACCCAATACTCATTTCGCCAGCAGTATCGCGTTGGCGTAAAACATAGAAAAATTGGCAGTCGTTGACTGGATGTGACTCAGGCCATTAAGAAGTTTAGTTAAATTCGAGTTTGTTTCGTTACAAAATGGCAATTCTAAATTTAATGAAAGCTCCWTTTGAATGGTGAACGTGAAAGAAAGACCCACAATGCATTTCGCTCTTGAAATAAACTATCTTTAATAATTAGCTGTATACCCTGCAAAGAGCTAAAAGCATCAAGTTGTGATCAAGCATTACGTTGCCTATGAATACACACCAGGCGGCGATTCCCAGGGGCCAAGGAACCTATTGTTATGGTTGATGACTCCTCCCGTAGGGGCCTGACGCGGGGTGCCCTGTTTGCCTGCCTAATATAAACATATCCGTCTGAAAGAAGGGGAAAAGGAATTGTTATCCAGGACATGGAGTCCTTGAAAGCTTTGATTTAGCTTTGCTGTAAATTCTCGAACGTTTTGTTCCATAAAATGTTTATATTATTTTTAAAAACTGTATTTTTACATCCATGTTATAATTACTCTTATTGGCCTGATTACAGTTTTGAAATATAAAACCCAAAGATTGCTAAGTTTTTCTTCATTTCTTTATCAATTCTATACGGATTGTCATTCATCTTCTTCAATTGTTAACATTCACTATGATTTAATAATTATTTGATCATCAATATTAATCTATTTGTTAACTTTTATATCATCAAAGAAAATGTGGACCGTTCGAGTGTATTATTGGAGTTTCAAAGGTCTTCAATCGGTGTGCCATTGGCATTGCGAATCCCGGCAAATCTTTATCAACAGCTAGATCTGCCTGGTTCGACCCTTGTCTGTAAACAACTAACGTTAAGAATTTCAAGAGATTTTTGTTGTGCGGTTTACTTGAATACTAGCAATGTCTTTCTGATATAAGAACTGTACACATTTTCCTGTGATGATTTGGAAAACAATGACGGCAATTTAACGCTCGGTAAAAGCCACCACATTCGTGT